GCTCTTCTCCACTCTCCCTCTTTCTTCTCCTCTGGACGGACCGAAGCTTCTCAAATTTCCTCCTTCCGCTCTTACGCGAATGTGCCCCCGCCGCTGTTCTCGCTTCTCTTTTATGTTTGCCTTTCGCGAAATTCCGCGGAAACGTTCCGCTGCGACCCAGCGTAGGACCAGGACGCTATTGTCCCAGGGAATCACTGTCCGATGCGAGCATCGCGAGCAACTTGGACGAACCACCATCCAAAGACGCGAACTCCGATCGATCACTCGAGGCTGACGAAAAATCCACACCGAATCACTGCCACGCTACGTGTCGCTCCATCGTGTTCCCATCCAACGGACTGCCTCCGGCAGGCCACTTCCGTCTACGTACACACTGCTCGCTCTTCTGCTCGCTCTCCGCTCGCGTTCCCTCAACGACCTAATGGACCAGTACAAAGGAAGCTAGAGCGAGGACTCGGGTGCTAGAAAAACGCGTGCCTCGTTTTCAGCCAGCGACTATAGGGGGATCAAATCGCACGGATGCACGCAGCCCCCTCGATCCGCTCGCAATTCGCTTCGAACGACACACGCGGCGACACTTTACCTCCGACACTCTCTTCACGCACTGCACACTTCCTAGGGTCATGCGGCGATTCCTCTGTCACGTGGTGGCCGCGTAACGCGATCCAATCCACAGATAGATCGTGAGGATCACGCATTAGAAGGAAAAGGACGCGAGACGAGGACGCGCACCGCGCTGGACCAGAGGAGCCGATCTTTCCGTTACTTGAACCTCGGACAGACTGGCGTCAGGCGACACCGCTCGCGCCAAGCTGCGCATGCTCCGCGCATACGCTGCCCACACTGCTCGGGACATGGGCGGAAGTCCGCGGACGCGTCGATATAGCAGGGCGCGTCAATGTCGACTCGCCAATATTTGGTTCGAGTCTCCAATTTCGACAGCTCGTGTCTCTCCGTCGTTACGGGCTGTCTCCTTCTCTTCCACCGCTGTCTCGGGAAAAATTTTCCCATTTATTAACCCGTCCGACCGAGTCATTTATATTACCACGTTAATCCGTCCTACGGCAGATGTAAAACGAACGGAAACGATTATGACTTTGGAAATTATATCGAGACTCTTTATCTCCGTCTAGAGATAATCCGTGGAAATTGATTTTTATCTTCTTCCTACGTTTCCCAAAGGGCGTCGGTGATACGGTAATCAGCTCGATAATGATTATTATTATATAATGATTAATTCTAATCTTGCTCGATTCTTTCAGTCAGACAAACGCGCTTTCGAATTCACGTTGCACCAGAGTTATAATCACGTTCACGCCGCAGCGATCCTTTTGATAAGCCGAACCAGGATAACTGGATCCACTTAACAGCTTGCAAACAAAACCTGATATCTCGTGTATGCTCCCGTTGATTATATTGTAAACACGAACTCATAGCGTTCTGCTATGACCCACGAACCATTCCGACTCGGCTTTCTCGCACTCAGGATGAAAGTAACGCCCGTGTGAAGCTTCGCGGTCGGAAAATTCCTGGTGTTTTCTTTTTTTTTTACACCAGCCTGGCCCGCGAATACGTTCCTCCGTCTCCCACTTGCGCATAAAATTACCGAGCGCAACGCAGTCCGAAACGAAAGAAAGATCGATTGCCAGGCAGTTATGTAGACGTTTAATGCAACGGAACAATGGCTATCTCCCGTTAACGAGGTAACGTCGAACGTGTATCGACAACAGGCCGCTTTAGTGCTTTCAATCTCTCTGTCTGTGCCTAATAATAGATCCACGCACATACGTTCCCAAAATGCGGCATTCGATATCGATATTGCGAGTCGGTACGAATTCGTATCGAAATTCTCTGCGTGGCTACTTTTACGTTTAATACCTAAACAGCGAGGCTCTGCCTATAGCCCGGCAGGCTTCCAGATTTGTCTAGAATGGTCCAAATTTTCCCTCCACGCGGAATATCGATGTTCCCGATTCGGAAACAAACGCTTCGTTACATTTATGTTGCGATCCGTCTACACGCGTACGTTTTTCGGTGGAAAAAAGTAGTCGAATATGGTCGATCGAAATGGTTATGGAGAACGAAACCGCGGGAAAAAGGGGGAGAAAATGTCGGAAGAAATTTGTTTCGTCACATCTGAGTGTCCACGTCCATTTCTAGCTGTTCGTCTCGAGACAGGCTGTTTTATCGTGGCGAATATTCAGAGATAAGACTTCCGTGGTTCGTTCTTAAAGCGGGTCCATATCGATAACTCGATGGTGCACGTGTACACGAGTTCCTGTAAATCACGCTGTTACGCGGATCATCTCGAACGAGGGGGTGAAGCAGGCTGGATGCGCGGGGCGAAATTGGAATATCAGCCAGCCAGCTAGCAGGAAGAAAACTTTTTAACGAGAATTTCAGAGAAGAATGACTAAAAGCGCGGTCGGTTTCTTCGCAAAGTTTCGCCATGTACAACACCACCCCTCGTCTTTATAGTTCAGTCCGCGTACTTATACTCGTTAAGAAACTTCGATGCATGCTAAGCTCTCTTTTAAAGAGAGAATGACCGCGGCTTTTGACCCGGATGCGTGTCGAATGGCGGACCGAGGACACGCAGAACTCGCGTGCTTCGTTCAAGCAACGACCTCTGGATCGCCGCGAGTCTGCAAAGGGGACAGGACGAAACGAGGACGTGGTTCGATTGATCCAATGCTAACTTATCGTTTTCAAAATAACCCTACGAGGTTATAGATAACCCAGTGACACACATTCGAGGTGCGAGCTTCTGCTAAATTTTCCGCTTAATATTCCACCGAATGTTCCACCGGGTACTCTGCTAAATATTCAGCGAGTCGCACGAGATACTGACCCGATTATCGCAAAAAAACTGCGAGGTGTGTTCATCAACAGAAGCTGGAAGGGCTAGCGCATAATTCAGCCGGTCTATTGTTGCTCGAAGGTGTTATCGCGAGAGTCTAGGCACCGCGTACGATGCAGTTTACTTAACGTCGAGATAACGAGGCCGTGAGTGGCTGTTGGACGAGCCTTCATGAATTACCGACTTAATTCTTCCGGGCATGAAGGCGCGAAATGCATTTAACATCGCTCCAGACGCGGCGTTCTGGTGCGTCAACTTTGCCAATGCTATTAACTCGTATCCTAAGGCTAACGTCAGCCCTTCCCGCTTGCTCACCCTAATCGTAGGGGCGATGCAAGCCTGCGTGTCGTTGCTCGTCGAAAGCACTGCGTAATACGATTAAGCTTTCACTCGTAAGACGTTGCTGCGGCAGATCGGTTTTCACAAAATCGCCTCGAACGGCACGGAAGCTATCTAGATATGAAAGAGTCTATGCTATCGGCCGTGTACTGTTTGACGGTCCTTTATCGTCGCTGATACCACGGACGTAACAGACCTATCATTTTATTGGATTTCGTGTTACACGATCGGAAATACCCAACGTGAAAAATATCGCTGGCTTCGATGTACCCTTTAGAATTTAGTGGTCTGGATTAGGCCCCATCGAACGGGTCTCTAGCTTGGCTACATCCTCACGGCGAGATCTCTCGATTGCTATCGCGACAGATCTGTCCTATGTCTCGTCTCGTGTCGATACCTCGAATTTTCTGGGTTTTAGAGTATAGCTCTGAGAAAGAATATCGGACGATTCGTTGCAAAGAGCTTTCATTTTTACCCTCGTCGTGCAAACGTTCTCGCGATACACTTATTTCGTAAGCCAGGGTTGTTCGCGTTTCGTACCCTTTTCAGCGTACAGTTGGTTGGAAGGAAAAATGTGGAAAATTCTCACGACGTCACGAGACATATCGAATTAAGATCGTAATAAAAATTTTCACGAATAT